ACACCCCATCGGGCATATCGTATCGTATCGTATTGGTGGCTTAATGATATGCCCCTACAGGGGTCGTATCGGGGTCTGACCTGGTTCAGGGGGTAGACCAGCCTTAAACCTACCCCTCTGAATCAGTTTCAAAGAAAAAAGGGGGGAGCAAGCTTCAATACAGGCCGATACGCCCCTACCATCATATCGGCCTGTATCGACATTTTAAACCTTGTTGTCCGGGCAAAAATGATCTAGGAAAACTTAACTCAACAAAGTGAACAGTTCATCTACACAAGCCATTTCTGAAAGGTAATTATATCACTTACATTGGTTCAAAATGAAAGAAAAAAAAAAAAAAAAGCACATGAGAATGCATACATACAAATAAACAAAATATGGGAAGCCAACCCTTCCTATATATTTGCAATGTTGTTTCTCATATGGGGACTTTTATGTATTTTTAAGTAAAGGAGGGAAATGGCTGTAATTTTGAAATAAGTAGTATTAGGATTATTTAAGACATTAGATTAGTGTGGAATAACCAACTATGATGTAATCTCTTGTTTTCTCATAGTGAGCTTTCATAGATCAATAACAGAACTTCATTGAAATATGTATAATAAGTAATACATATAGCAGTGTACCAAGCACCTCTAAATATATAGATAGCCTTGGCAACCCACCTATATTAAAACATTTCATCTGTTTACAAAGTTCCCACCCTAGGGGACTAAGCTCCAATATATTTGACTTACTTTATCCTATGTTTTGCCAAACCATCAGCTATTTGGCTGATCTTGGTATTTATCTAAAAGTTGTTCTCACTCTGAAGCCAACATTTTGATTTCCCTTAAGATCCATTTGATGGATTCTCCATGCTGCATCCATCAAACTTCATTTTTATCAGATTTGATGTTGGAGGACACCTAGTTATTGACTAAAATTGTTGACCCAGGAGGATAATGCCACTTGCTTCCAATTCCTAATAGTATCATCAATTAAGGGTGCAACCATACAAAAAATCCATTATTATGATCCAACGTGCAACCTTAACCATAATATTTTCGATTCTGGCTTCTCTACTTTGATATAATATCATTGGTAGTAAAGGGTGCGAAAGCATCTGTTGCCCTGGTGCATCTCGACATTATCTTTCCTCTCTTTTCTGGTGGTGAGTGTAGAGAGATAGGGCCAAATGGGCGTAGCCCATCCTTATTTATGTTTTTTAAGTAGATTGATGAGCTGGCCACCCACTTAAGGGCAGACTTGTAATTTGATCAATTTTAGTAAGATTAATAAAAGTTAAGAGGTGTAAGAGGAGACCATTGAACTCTTCTTTTCTCCCTTCTTCTTTCTTTTTGTCTTCCTCTTCCTTTTCTTTCTTTGTTTAAATCTGAAATTATTTTGCAGAATTTTATTGGACTAAATCACATCTTGGTATCAGAGCAAGTCTTCCTTCCTTTTGTTTTTTCTTTCTTTTCCCATACACCTTTCGATTAGAAGAGTGTATGGAGAGATAAGTTGTTGATTGTTTAGAGAACTTTTATTCTTAGTTAGTAGAGGATTTGGAGAGTTAGAATCTGGTTGTAGATTGCCAAGAAAGTGAGGTTGCTGATTTTTTGCCCCCAAACCCTAGCTGACTAGAGAATTTCTCGTTAAGTTAAAGAGACAGTTTGGGTGTGTCTCTCAAGGTCTTTGGGGTTCCTTTTGATCTCCAGATTACTCAAACAATCCCAATCAGCCCCTCTCACGGTGGATGAGCAGATAGTGACTATTTATACCGGAACGAATGGGTATCTTGATTCGTWAGAAATTGGACAGGTAAAGAAATTTCTTGTTCAGTTACGTACCTACTTAAAAACGAATAAACCTCAGTTCCAAGAAATCATATCTTCTACCAAGACATTTACCGAGGAAGCAGAAGCCCTTTTGAAGGAAGCTATTCAGGAGCAGATGGAACGTTTTCTACTTCAGGAACAAACATAAAGAAATTGATCACTCTTAGTACAAGGTACAAGGGGAATCATTGATAAACGTCTCTGATTCAAAAAATCTTTCTTGATATAGAAATCTAAAAAAAAATAGATGAAAATAAATTGCGTCCAATAGGATTTGAACCTATACCAAAGGTTTAGAAGACCTCTGTCCTATCCATTAGACAATGGACGCTTTTCATTCCGATTTTGTTCTGTCGCATTTTTCCTTTACTATCTTATCTCCTGGTCGAAAAAAAAAAAATCAGATTGGATGTAATGGGATAGAATTTAGGGAATAAAGATGCGTATTCAAATCAAAGATGTATGTATCATAATTAAGGAACCCGAACCTCAGGTAGAGCAACCGACCTCTAGAGAGGGGGTCCCATCTTCTTCTCGAGGTCGAGATCCAAACAACTTTGGCCCTTCCACGATGACCTCGGACAGATTGTTGTCCTTGGTAGCCCGTTACCGTCTCCCCGACACTCTTGTCTTCAGTATTCCTTTGGGTCAATACCCTTGGGTTCACGGTCATCACGAGCTCACAGTTTTTGAGGAGCAGCTCGTAGCTGGGTTGCGCTTCCCGCTCCACCCTTTCATTGGTACCTCTACAAAGGAAAAGGACATGAATTAGTACACAAAACGTTGATGAGGGGAACGTGTTAAAAGGCTAAGGAACCTCTCCTATCGAGGGGAGTAGGGTTGAGCCCCGCAAATACTAAGGGGAGCTCCTCCTCCACCAAGGGCTTGGCCTTGACCGTCCCCAACACGATCAGGTGCGCCACGGCAATGGCCTTCTCGTCCCGAAGTGGAGGGGGACACTTCTCCATCGTCGTACAGGCCACTCCCCACTTTGACCTAAACGACCAACCTTCGGGGCAGGAGATAAAGAAAAATTTGCCCTTCCAGTTGTGGACAGACGAGGGTTATTGACCGGCCTCCCCCTCCACGACTGTAAGTAGTACATGCTGAACTCGGAAGAGTGCTTCCTCGACATAAACATGGCGTGGATCATCTTCGGGGTCAACTCTACATCCCAAAGCTGAGCCCACACTAGCATGGCTATAAGAGTCCTAATGGAGTTGGGGACGAGTTTGCCAATAGTGATATCGTACCACTCTAGCAAATCGGAAATCAAAGGGTGAAGCACCATCCTTCAGAGGAAGATAAGCTTTGTTGGTCTCACAACAAATCTGGTAATGTTCACTGTTAACTCTTTGCTTGATATCTTGGTTGAAGACCAAGCTATCTCTCCCCATTGGGTTTGGACCTGGAAATCAAAAGCTCCCTCCAATACCACTTTCTTTGCTTGGGTTGCTCTAAAAGGAAAGCTTCCTATTATTAATGTGCTAAGGAAGAAAGGTATGGCCTTTGTTAATCATTGCTGCCTCTGTGGTTCAGATGAGGAATATATTCAGCACCTCCTAGTCTCTTGTAGCTTCTCCTGTAGTCTGTGGTCCCATGCTCTGCAGTTGTTTGGAATGAATTGGGTTGACCCTCCTGATGTGGGCTCCTTGTTTTACTCTTGGCAAGTTTAAGCCTTTAGTAGAAGGGGTATTGTAAAAATTCTCTGTTGAAATATCTATGTTTTATCTGCTGTATCTCTGTATTAATTCTCTTAATTGAATAAAATTCTCATTTTCACTGATCCAAAAAAAAGGTGCTTTGGAATTTTCCACCCTTGGCTTTATGCTTGTGCTTGTGGAAGGAGAGGAATGGCCGAGTGTTTGAAGATCAATCCTCCTCTCCTCTATTTAGAAGCTTTGTGCCAAGCTGGAAAGAACCTTGTTCAAATGGGCATCTGTTAACAGGATTTTTCAGGGCCTGAAATTTTCGATGTTTTCTAGACCATTGAGATAGTACTTTAGGGGATGATGATATTCCAATGTAAATTTTCTTATTTTCCTTCATCCTTGTAGCTCTTGGCTGTTGAGGAAACCTCTCCCTCACAGTCTACTTCCATTTTGAAATTAATGGATATTTACCACTTCTCAAAAAAAAATATTTTGTAACCAAAATGACATTGAATGCGTATATTAATTATTCATTTAGCAGTGAGATAAAAGAACAATGTTACACATAAGTATCCCTCAGGAATCCATGGAGTGTTGGAGTTAGGGGTATCAATGGACCAGTTTTGGGTTAGACCCCATCCAAATCAAAATCAATTTGAATGGATTGGGCAGACCAATAAAACATATTGAATTGGACCAGTCCAGTCCAAAGTATTTATTGGGTTGGATTGGACCTGGTCTATCCATGATGGATTTATATTGGATTGGATCGGATGGAACTGGTCCATTGATAGAAGATAAAAATGCTGGTGTCAATGGTGTTCAGGTTGGAACCAATCTAAGTTAAAACCAATTTGAACAGATTGAATGGTCCAGACATTGAATTGGACTGGTCCAAAATGGTCCGGAGTATTCATTGGATTGGATTGGACATGGTCCATCTGTAATGGACTCATATTGGACTGGATCGGATTGGACCATATCCGGTCCACTTGACACCCCTAGTTGGAGTCCAACAACATGTTGATCCATTTAGGAGAGTCCATGCAACACTGCCTAATAAACTAAATGGAATCTGCTACATGAAGTGATCTAAACTTTGTAAAGAACTATACAACCAAGATGGGTCCATTACCCAGTGCTGGTCCCACTAGGGATCTTGGGACAGGTGGGTTGGATATGGACCTAACCTCCATCAATTTTAGCTCAAAGTGACCACTCTCATACTCAAATCTACATTCTTGCACTTGTCAGCCAAAGATTTTACCACAGAGCAAGTAATGGTCTCTACAACCAAGACGTATGGTGCATTTAGAAAATTATTAGACATGCATTTTCAATGTTATTCTGATGACTAAGTATGGTGATAACTACATAAAATAATGCTTTGAAAAGCTAAAAGAACACCCACACTTCAAAAAAAAAAAAATAGCAGGAATTCTTAGATGACAATACATGAAAAATCACAAACAGAAACAGGAAGAAGGGATTAGGTCTATGGAGCATGTAAAACAGTGAATAGACAAACCTATATTACTCAGAGTTTCAGTATATACTGAAAGCCGCTGTGGTCGAGGGAGATTCTGTTTATCTTGTTGCTCATCACTTAGCTTTATACAGTTAAGGAGTGGTGTTTTCCATGATGGTCTAGAATCATCCTTAGCATTGCATATACTCACTAGCTTCTGTTCAGCATTTTGTAGTTGGCATGATCTATTTTCCTCTTTAATCCAGATTGCTGTCTGAACCTGCCGAGCAATGAGCTTCCAGCACATTGCTGAAGTCAGATTGACCAGTTTATCCCAAATCACAGGAAAATCTTTATCCTTTCTGTATGCAGGTGGTGCCGAATAGACAAAATACCCTTTAGGTCGCAAAAGACGATGCACTTCTTTCAGCAGCACACCATCTGTAGAAAATTATTAAAAAAAATCATTACAGATTATTGGGTAAATTGTGGTTCTACTAATACAAAAAAGAAATTGAGTCTAAAAGCCTTAAAAAATAGAATATGATGAAAGTATAAAAGCCTCTAAAACTGGAGCATTAATTGGCCATATAAGAAGTTTTAAGATTAATAAAATCCATATACATTTGAAGCAATGTGAAATGGGCCTATCTAGGTGAATCTTTACAGGCCGCATCCCTGATTATATACCAAATGAACATGAAAGGATGAGCTTCCATAGGCATCTGTTGACAGATGTTATTATATGTACTGTACACAGATTTAGTGCCTGCAGGGGTATTTTTGTAATTTCAATACCACTTGTGTTGTACGGCCAGTATAGTATAAATACAAATGCTTCACTCGCATGAAGCAAGTTCTTTTGAGGCATTAAGTCCGCCAGCCTCTTCTCTCTTCTTCCTTCTTCTTCTTCCTTCTTCTCTTCCTCTTCTTTCTCTTGCTCAACAGCATCTTCTCAAATCCAAGGAAACAGGAAAGTTTTCTATTCAAGAAACATACTAATACAAACTCACCAGCATTTTGCTTGCCTCCAATACCTGACCATCCTGGGTTTCCTATGACACACCCATCAAAGTTTAGCTTGAATTATTCAACATTGATAGGAACTAGGGGAACTGATCCTACCCACAACCAACCAATCTCCCATAATGGAACCTAAAGGAGACACCACCAAAGTAATCTATAGTGAAGAAGTGAAGAACTCTCGCCAAAATTTTGTGAACGACATCCTGCATATGAAGAGTGGTGGCTTGTAGGTACAGTGTCATAAGTTTGAATGAGATTCTAGAGAGGTGCCATCATCTTATGGTGTTTGTGTGTGGAAAGGAATCATTAAGTTTCATGAGTTCTCCTAGACTACCAGTTTCTTGGTAGGTGAAGGAATAATAGTTAGATTCTGGGAATGTGTAGACTACCAGTTTCTTGGTAGGTGAAGGAATAATAGTTA